AACGGGATCTTGAAGAGGAAGGTCAACAATGCCAAGGAATTATGGACATATGCGTTGTCCTAGATTCTATGAGTATACCACACCAACACTTGACCCAAATCACGACGGATGAAAGTCTATTTTCTATGGCCTTTATGCTGAAAATTATAAATCTTGATTCTATCCCTCTAAAAGCAATCAATTGAAAGAAAGAAAATAAACAATCAAGAAAATGCAAAATTTATAGAGGTTTGCCTCAATGACAAACTATGTCCTCTCCCACCTCTGCATTAATTCACTATGATGAAAAAAAATGTTTACAAGAAAAAATATCAATAATATCTTCTCCAATCTCTCTCTCTCTCTATAAATTTGTAATATAAGTATTAATTAAAGTAAAAATTTTATCTTAAAATTAAACAGAAATAGAAGAATACTTTGATTTGAGGTTTTGATTCAACATTTTGAACGAAGTTTTTATGCCAATTTGATATTATTTGGCTTTCTTTGCATTCCAGAAATTAATTGTGGGCCTTTATGAAGAAGTTACAATCTTGATTTTATGGTTACAACCTTCGTTTGATATCTTGTGTGTAGCACATTTACTAGTGAAAAAAGCTCCATGTTTTCCTTCACAAGAGTAGGGGTGTCAATTTGGCTCGTTAACTTGGATGGCCCGTGACTCGGCTAGAGAAAAGCTCAAGTCGGCTCGACTCGTGGCTCATTTCTACCAAGCACAAGCCAGCCCATGCCACAAGGTATTTTTGGCCCGTAACGAGCTGAGTCTTGAAAAATGAGAAAGGAAAAATCTGCAAAACTTTGGAAAAAAAAATATTTAGGGCGGCCTACATAGCTGACCTGGCTTTGCTAGTTAACGCTCGAGCCGAAAGCTCGAATCGAGACTAGATTTTTTGGTCGAATTTTTGCTTGCTCGATTTGGGCAAAAAAATCTAGAATAATTTTTATTCAAACTGAGCCCGAACTTCAAGTTTTGACTAACAAGCCAACTCGACTCAACTCATTGACGTTCCTACATAAGAGTGAAAAATATTTCATGGATTCTAACTTACTGGGGAATACAAGCATTTTTATTTGATATTTTCCAACTTGTCCTTCAAGAAAAAAGAAACAAAATAATTTAATATGTAACAATTCTAACTTACTCCGCCACTTGTCTTTTGATTCTATTACTTAATTAAATTAACTTAATGTGGCCATATTTTTCCTATATAGTGTCAATATCGTTAGGTAAAGGTTAATTTTCAATCAACTTATGCATAAAAAAATTATATGAGAAGCCAAATATAATTAAAAAGATGTATTCAAAGCCAACTTGATTAGGCAAAGATTTATTTTCATACATTTCTTGTGCTGTGTTTTCTTGTCTTGATAATTTCTAACTTGTCCGTTAAGAAAATCATTTAATATGTAATAATTCTAACCTACGCCGTCACTCATATTTTATTTCTACTAATTAATTAATTATCTTAATATGGCCATCATTTTCTATTAATTAATTAATTATCTTAATTCGACCATTATTTTCCTTCAAAATGCTGGCTTCATTCGGTAAAGGTAAATTTTCAACCAACTTGACGTTAAAATCAAATTATTTGAAAAGCCCAAAAAATGCCAACTTGACTAGGTAAAGGTCTATTTTCCTACATTTTTTTTTTAATCGTTAGTCTATTTTCCTACATTTCTTGGTCGTATTTCTTGCCTTGATTTCAATCATGTTGGGGATTAGTCTCATAACTTGGTAAAGTATGAGTTCTGGCACCTTCTTATCATTTAATATACATTCTATGGTACTAAATTTAGCAGTTGGTATGATAAATTATGCTTGAAATAAAAAAAATAAAATGAATTTGATCTATTCATATTTTGCAATATTCAATTTTTTTAATGTAATAACTAATGATAGGAACTGAAAGAAATAATATTTACATTGTTCGTTCCATTATTTCTCCATGCAAATAAGATGTAACTTTTTGTTTTCGTATGAAAAGTTCTTTTTCTAAATCTTAAACTTATTATGAATTTATTCTCTTTCATTTTTCATTCAATAGTAAAGAACTCTAGATTTGGTTTCTCCGAGTGGCACGGGAATTACAGCGAAAATTAGTTATCCCCGATTTCCCTGCCTATTTATCATTTTTTTTCTTTCTTGATATACTAGAGTGGACAAGAGCACGATTCTCTACCATGACATAATGTATTTGGGAAGCACTTTTAATGGTTGATAAAAAATTCGTGGATAAAAATTCGTGGATTCCACGAAAATTGCTTCTTAGCTTCTCTTCAATAGCCGAAGTTCAATGGATTCCTTCATGTGGGTGAAAATTGTTTCGTGGATTCCTATCTGAAATATTTTCTTTCCTTCAATTGAGATTTCTGGTGGGAACTGGAAATTTAATAAAAGCATTTTCAGTTGAGATATTCCCTAGCAAAACAAAATCGTTTGATATTATATTATACCACCATTAATTAAATTATCTTAACATATCAAGTTGACTAGATTAAGGTCTACCTTCAACCAACTTTCCCTATAATTAGAGATGTTCATATGACTAATTCTCATCAATCTTACCTTTTAATCTCTGTGTCGTCTGAAACCAACAATAATTTGAATACAAATAGGAGACACATCTGATACACATTCCCTCTCAGTAAACTCTCTATCTGATCAGCATTTTGTCCGAACCAACAATACTTGATGAATTTGTCTCACGAAAATCTATCACTTCTAGTCACAAGCCCAGATCTCCTTTCCCATCTGCAAGATTTAAAGCTTGATGGAGGAGAAAAAATTATGAACTTTCAATCACTTGGGCCACACTTTTTAACTTTTCTCAAATATGCAGAAGAACTGCACTATGAACGCATATTATTCAAGGGGAATCACTTCATCCGGAGATTTATTGATCTGCTGAGTGTCTGGATGATGCAGCCTCCAACTGCATCTTATACGGAGAGACTGAACATTACAGAAACTTTTTAGAAATCATTCTCTCTTTCGTGCCATACATTAAGAAGCTTTTCACTCTTCAAAACCTGCTGAAATTGTCTGGTAGATCAAAACCACCTTATATACTTCAGGCTAGCTTTATCAACTTTCTTTTTGATACTATTGGAGAATTACTTAATTGCGAAACATATTCCAGTGTTCTAGTGAGTAATCAAGTTAAAGTTCTTTGGAAGGAGCAGAAATTTCTACTCACTTTTTTGGTTGATACAATGCAATGCAACAATCTAGAAAGTAAGAAAATTCTGATTCCATCTGAATATTATATATCCATGAGGGAACAGACTTTTAAAGGGAATATATTCCCAGAAATTGAACATATATACGACACAGTAGGGGTTTTCTTGCAAAAGTTTTTTTTACCACATTCCATGTTACCACTACCAAAATGGATGAGCCAATTTCTCCTGTCAAAAAGGATTGCGTCTGTGCAAAAGGAGATCAAAAATCACTGCAATGAAGTCACAATGAAGCTGATTTTTGGATTCGGAAGCCTATAAATTGCAGAAAGTCAAAGTGAAGTACCATCATCCCAACATAAAAACATTCCTTTGACAGCACAAATTGCAAGAAAGCTTCTTGGAGAACCAATCTCCAGCAAGATTATTTCCATCGTTGGAATGGGTGGTCTTGGCAAGACACAAAGAAAGTGTACAATGATTCCAATGTTCAGAACTATTTTGATATGCTTTCTTGGTGTATTGTTTCTCAAACTTACAAAAAGAGGAAGCTGTTGATTGACATTTTGAGCTCTGGAAGTAACCTAACAGAGACGAAATTTCAGAAATGGAAGTGGAAGAATTGGCTGAATGTCTTTACAAAAATTTAAAGGGGAGAAGATACCTCATTATTATAGACGATCTGTGGGATAAAAAAGCTTAGGATGATTTGAAAAGGTTATTTCACGAGGACAAAAATGGAAGCTGAGTATTGTTCACCAGTCGGCAGAAAAATGTGGCATTGGAAATTTCACATTTTATTGTTGAACCTCCTTCCATGTCACCGGGTGAAAGTTGGAATTTATCAGAGCAGAATGCATTCAAGAATGATCGTTGCCCTCAAGAACTGCAAGATATTGGAAAGCAAATTGCAACAAATTGTCATGGACTCCCGCTTTCGGTTGTCACGATTGCTGGAGTTCTTTCAAATATGGAGAAGAAAGAAAGCTTATGGTAAAAAGTTGCAAAACGTTTAAGTTCTTACATTTCTCGAAAAGCCGACAACTATCTTCCCACATTGAAACTTAGTTACATACATTTACCAGATCACTTGAAACCATGTTTCCTCTATCTCAGTGCGTTCCAGGAAGACGACGAAATTTCAGTTAAGAAGCTATTATTACTATGGATACCTGAATGTTTCATAGAAAAAAAGAGCATAAGAGCTTAGAAGATGTTGCAGAGGAGTATCTAGTAGAACTAATTGACAGGAGCCTGCTGCAAGTTGTAACAAGAAGATCTAACAACGGAGTAAAAGCGTGTACTCTTCACGATCTAGTACTCGACATGTGCATCAAAATAGTGGTAGAAGATGAAACATTTTTGTTTCAACAGTAAGTTAACTCACTCTCTTTCTAATTTCTTCTCATTTTCCTTTTCTTTTCCAATTTAGCCCTACTAAATTGAGGTAATTATGTCGATGCTGATGTAGGTTGATGTGGTTGAACTGATGATAATGCTCCATATTCTTATTATTTGACTTCTTTAGCCAATTTTTGATATCAAATCTTCGCCATTGCTTGTGTATGGATCGGTCTCATCTGCTCTCACTGGCCTTATCCGTTCTTTACAATTCCAAAAAAGTATGGATCTCGGATAAAAAAATATGATCAAAATATTCTATTAGTAATCAAAATTGTTACAATAAGTTCAAGAAAAATCACCCGTTTTGTTTCACAAAAATATGAAATAAGATACTGAAGATGAAATAAACATAAAAGAAAAATGCAAGAATACAATATTTTTGCCCTAAGGCAAGAGGTTCGGAACCGGAGTCTCTAATCCCCTTTTGAGCTTCTGCCACTGGAAGAAATCACTATATTAGCCGGAATCCACAAGAGTACAGTTCACAGTTCATGGCACTTAGGCGAAATCACACCAAGATTTCGCATACAACAAACCCACAAAATATACATTGAACATCCACTCAAGGATCGAACCCTATGAAACCACTCAAGATCTACTATGGGCTGTAACAACAATCAATCTACAAAAGGGCTTTTGTTTGAGTGCTAAAATGAAACGAAGAACCAACGAAATGAGAGAGAACAGAGAGTTCGAGAGAGAAAGGGGGCAGGTGAATAATGAATCATTCACTCGTCCAAACCCTAGAAGTCAATACAAAATAGAAGCAGCTGGAAGGTCATTCATCAACGGTGAGAGAGGTGATACTTGGCAAGATTTGGCGCATCTGTTCTTATTTAACAAAAACAGCTTTTAAACAAAACACGTTTTTATCACAATCCGGTCAGCCCATTTAGCCAAGTTCAAGTGACAAGTGATCCAACCCACAAGCCCATCAGTATTATTCCAGCCCAATCATCATTGTGCCACTATATATTTTCTCTACATTCTCCACCTCGGTACAATGATGCCAGCATCATTTATAGTGATTCCTACAGTCATGACATCATTTGCTCGAGTACCTGATACACAAATCAGCAGCAATTTATATATAATCTGCTTTAAACAATCCAAGAACTTGTTTAAAGGCAGTATTTTGGTTCCAACATCAGCAGGGTTAAAATGAGTAGAAATCTTTTCAAGTTTAACAACACCTTGAGATATCACATCTCTAATAAAATGGAATTTCACATCAACATGTTTAGATCTATTATGCAGCACCGGATTTCTACTCAAATAAATAGCAAATTGGCTATCAGAATGTAAGACAACATCATTTATGAAGCCAAATTCATTTAAAAGTCCTTTTAGCCAAATTCCTTCTTTAATTGCATATGTAGCAGCCATATGTTCTGCTTCAGTTGAAGACAAGGCAACAATCTTTTGTAATTGTGATTTCCAGCTTATACAGGAATTACATAAAGTGTAAACATACGCAAAAGTTGATTTTCTGTTATCCCTATCACCTGCATAATCTGAATCTGTGAAACCCCTCAAGATAACACCCTCAGATTGTTTTCTATACTCAATTCCTAGGTCATAAGTCCCTTTTATATATCTTAGAAGCCATTTCATAGCTTCCTAATGAACCTCACCAGGATTTGACATGTATCTACTTAATACACTTATTGAAAATGCCAAATCAGGCCTAGAACAAATCATTAGATACATAACTGACCCCACAGCATTAGAATATGGCACTCTAGCCATTCTTTTTAACTCATCTTCTGTTTTGGGACATTGATCATTCGATAATTTGAAGTGGTTTGCTAAAGGCAAGCTCACACTTTTAGTATCAGACATTGCAAATCTTTCAAGTATTTTTAAAACATAAGATTCTTGATTTAGACTTAGTAAGCCCTCTCTTCTATTCCTTTTGATTTCAATACTTAAGATTTTTCTAATAGGACCTAAATCCTTCATTTCAAATTCAGATTTTAATTTGCCTTTAATTGTCTCTATTTCCTTTATGTCATGACTTGCTAAAAGCATGTCATCTACATACAATAGAAGATATAGTGAATTCTCACCTCCGTTTCCTTTACAATAAAGACAAGTATCCAAATTACTTCTTTTAAAACCAAGTCCAAGTACAAAAGTATCAAATCTCTTGTACCATTGTCTTGGAGCTCGTTTTAGACCATAAAGTGATTTTTTAAGAAGACATACTAAGTCTGAATTTTTATTCACTTCAAAACCTTCTTCAAGATCTCCATTTAAAAACGCGATTTTTTACATCTAATTGATCCAATTCCCAATTGAATTGAGCTGCTAGAGCAAGTATTACTCTAACAGTTGTAAATTTTACAACTGGAGAAAAGATTTCATTGAAATCTATTCCCTCTTTTTGGATAAAACCCTTTGCCACAAGTCTTGCTTTGTATCTAATGTCATTGTCATCTTTTTCACCTCTTATGATTTTGAAAATCCACTTACGACCTATAACTCTCTTTCCCTTAGGTCTTTTAACTAGGGTCCATGTTTTATTCTTCCTTAATGATTCCATTTCATCATGCATTGCTGTTAGCCAGTGCTTAGAGTCCTTGCTACTCATAGCATCTTTATAGGACTCGGGTTCATTTTCAATGAACCCTTGAACAGTGAGAAGGGATATTTCATCATCAAATGTTACAGGTGGTCTTATTTCCCTACTTTCTCTATCTCTAGCAAGTTGATAATCATTCAATGATTGATTAACTTCATAATCAGATTCAATTTGATCAACTTCATCATTATTTTGAATCTCAATTTCACTATATTCATTTTGATCAGGTTGTAGATTATCATTATTAACTTGCTTCACCTCAATTTCAGTTTCCCTTCCTTCATTTTTAGTCTGATCAGATTCATTTGTTTTATTTTCAGATTTTAAACAAGGCAGATTAGTCTCATTAAAGACCACATTTCTACTTATTATGATCTTAAAACCTTTGGTCTATCTTACCCAAAGTCTATACCCCTTTACCCCTTCACCATAGCCCAAGAAAACACACTTTAGGGCTCTAGGTTCAAGCTTTCCCATAGATTGATGTGCAAAGGCTGTACATCCAAAAATTTTCAGATTACTTAAATCTACAGATTTTCCTATCCAAACTTCTTCTGGGGATTTAAACTGTATAGCACTAGATGGGCTTCTGTTAATGAGATAACTAACAGTTTTTACAGCTTCTCCCCAAAACAACTTGGGAAGACCAGAACCTATTAACATGCATCTAACTTTCTTAAGAATGGTTCGGTTCATTCTTTTAGCTAAGCCATTTTGTTGTGGTGTCACTGTTCTATGTCTCAAAATACCATGCAATTTACACAATTCATCAAATTCAAAATTGCAAAACTCAAGCCCGTTATCAGTCCTCAACACTTTAATCTTTTTATTTGTTTGATTCTCAATCAAAGTTTTCCATTCTTTCAAAACATTAAAAGTGTCAGACTTATGTTTAAGTAGAAAAGCCAATTTTTTCTAGAAAAATCATCTATGATTAAAAGAAAAAATATGAAACCAGTATGTGTGGGCACAGAAGTTGGTCCCAAAAGATCAGCATGCAAATATTCAAGAATAGACACAGATTTATACATCCCAGGCAGAAATGGTAATCTATTTTGCTTCCCTAGTATGCAATGATAAAAAAAAATTGAGTTTCTCAATTATATCTTTACCAAAAGCACCTTGTTTTTTTTTTCAAAATCTAAAGTCCTTTGTCACTTATATGGCCTAATCTTTTGTGCCATAATTGTGACTTATCATTGGGAGCAGAAATTGCTGCTGATGTAGAGTCAAAAAAGTTTTTGAGTGTGTAAAATGTAATGCCCATGTCTCTTGGGGGCTTCTGCAACTAATTGAGAGCCCCTCAAGATCTTAATGTATCCCTTGTTAATCACAATATTGTAGTTCAGGTCATCTAAGACACCTAAGGATATCAAATTTCTTTGTAGGTCAGGAACATACCTGGTCTTTTCTAAGATCAATTCATTATTACCTTCTAACTTTAAGGTAATAGATCCTATTCCTTTTACCTGACAAGTCATGTGATTACCCATTAACACTTGACCTCCATTTACATTTTCAAACTCACTAAACCACTCTCTTTCAGGACACATATGAAAAGTGCAACCTGAGTCAAGGATCCACTCCTGACTAGGTGAACTATGTGTAGCAACATAGACTTCATCTATATTGTACTCATTTTTATAAGCCAAAGCAGCACCTCCATCATTATTGGACTTATTTTTCAAATCATTAAGTCTCTTATAACAATTTTTGATAAAATGACCTTTAGCTGACCTTCACCTAGGCAGTAAAAACATTTTTTACCCTTGGTCTTATTTTTCATTTTATCTTTAAAGTTCACCTTCTTCTTGTGTCCTGATTTTTTATTAAAATTGGCCATCTTTGTGTTTGAATTAGGTTTAGACTTAACCATCAAATTTTCACCACTAATAAATTCTCTTTTTTCAGATTTTAACTCTAACTCTTTATTTCTTAATGCATTTATTATCACATCCGTAGTTAGAGTCTCCCTACCATATTCAATAGCATTTTTAACATCTTTGTATTTATCACTTATTGAATTTAACAAAACCATAGCCAGTTAATCTTTTGAGAGTTTCTCATCACAGTCGGCTAGGTCACGGGATAATCTGTTAAACCTATCAATGTTTGCATCAATATCAAGAGATGGATCCAATTTCAAACCAAAAAATTGTTTTAGAAGATACACTTTATTAGGC